CCCCCCTCGGGCTCTGGCGTATGCCCCTTTAGCTCCCTGATGACTTCTTGTCCTCTCGGCCTCAGTTTCCCCCGCGCTCACCGGTGGCGAAGGTCTGTGCCAAGCAGCTCAGCTTCCAAGGCCCGACGCCGTCCGGGCTGCTCAGGTCGCCCCGAGGGGGCGCGTAGTTGTTGCGGAGGTAGGCGCGGGGCTCGAAGCGCTGGTAGGCGGAGGCGACCGCCGCCCGGCCCGGGTGCGGGTCCGAGTCCGAGTCGGGGACTGCGCCCGCAGCGGGATTCGGGTCTGCCGCACTCATGCTGCCGCCGCCGCCCGCCCGGTCCTCGCGCTTCGCGGTCCCTTTATGTGCCGCCCAAGTCCCGGCCCGACCCTCTGCTGCGGGGGCGGCGGCTGCGCCAGGAACCGCCCGGGGCCCCGCGTTGCATTTCACCCACCCCATCCATCTCCTTTAGTGTCCGAGCGGCAGACACTCGGGGCGCGTGTGGGGCGGCCCGGGCACGTGTGACCCCCACCCCCGCCCCGCTCCTCCGCTGCGCCCGCGCCCTGCCACTCTGCCTCACCGGGCCTGGCCCCAGGCAGCCAGCTTCGTGCCCCCAAGACCCTTAAATCCCCGCCCCGCCAGCCCCCAGCTCTTCCCGTCGCTCTCCTCCAGCTCCCCGGCCATTCACCCCCTTCGCCCGGCACCCCATTCCTTCTCTTTGGCCCAGGGTCCAGTCGGCGCTGTTCCACTGCCCACCTCCCAGCGCTCTCGTCCCAACCCCGGGCCCGGCCCCCTGCGGGCTCTCCTTCCTCCGAGACACCGCGTCCCACATCCACCCCTTTCCTTGGTTTGGTCACCCCAGCTCCCCCCTCCCTCCTCCAGCCCTCTTTCGTCCTTTCCTCCCAACCCTCGTTCCCCAGCGCCCCCCACACCCACTCCGGAAAGGACAGTCCGTTCTGGCCTCCGCCACCGTCGCGGTCGCCCCGGGGCCCTAGAGCGGAGCTCCGGCCCCGCCCGTCCGATGGCAGCAGCGATAGGGGATGGGAGCGGGGCTAATGCACTTAGCCTTCCGAACAGCGGGGCCTCCCTGCGGGCCCTGCAGGCTCTGAGCCGCTTATCTGGGGGCTTCTGAAGGCAGAAGGTCGGAACATCCTAGCCATGTCGGGCACGCGGGTCCCTGGTGAGGGCGGAAGGACGCAGATGTTCCCCGGCCTGCCGCGGTCGCCAGGGGGCGCGGGCTGGGCCTTCGGTGCCAAGGGATTTGGGGTTGCACCAGTCTGGGGTCTCTGACCCCTCTCCTTCCCCAGCCCACACTGCATTCCCCTTTCTTGGGGAGGGGGTCAGGCCAGGCCTGTAGGTCCTGCTTGGCACTCCAGGTCAAGATGCCAGGGTCTCCCGTCCTTTCTCCCCCAAATGGGAAGTGGATTCCATGGAGCTATCTCCATGGTCTTCCTGGAGTGGACCCCTTTGGGCCAGTCCAGTGCACCTCTGCCCTAGATAGGCTACGAGCCCCTGTCCAGATGGGCCCCTAGCCTCCTCTGTGCCCTCACCTCTGTGCCCTCACCGGTCCCCACCTTGTCCCAAGAGAAACATGTCTCCTTGTTGGGCCAGGCAATCAGGTTGGGACATGAGTCACAACAGCTGCAGGGGTCACAGACAAGAACCCGACCCTCCACTCCCCACAGCCCACCCTGGGCTCCCTGGGCAGGGTGGGTAGAGCGGCTGACCGGAGCCAAGGACTGATCCTGTCTGGATTCAGACCTGAGAGGTAGGTCAGCCTCGGGGTCAGTGACCCCATCCACACCCTTAGGTACAGCCAAGGACAATCCTGGTGCCAGCCCCCTCCCTATTCTCCATGAGATCATTTAAACACACCCTGGATGCCAGCTGGCCTGCTGGGCACTGCCCAGTGCCAGGGGACTGGACACAGAGTCCAGGAACTGCACAGCAGAGCCAGGGCATGGAAGGGGGCCTGGACAGACAGCCACCCTGTTTACAGCTCTGTTCCTGTCTCCTCTGCCCCCACCACCAAGCATGGAGCGTACCCACTAGCTCTGCCATATTTAGCTCAGATGCAAGGCCTATTCCCAGAAGTGAGCATGGGGGGACACCAATGGGCTGGCCCCCACAAGGAAAGAGACGAAAAGTCTGGAACACAATTGAGCATTTATTGCAGCACTAACAGAGGATGCTGGGGGCCCCACTCTGCCTCTGCCTTCTTCACGTCCCCCTCATGCCAGTCTTCTCCAAGCCTCTTCTCAGAGCATTCCAGATCCCCTTAACACTTTTCCTCATCTTTCTCTGAAGCTGAAGCCTGGACCAGGGTCATTCCTCTCAGGGACCTCTTGTCCTCACCAGCATCGTTTGTCCCTTCTCCTGGGGCTGGGGGTACTCGGCTGTGCTGGCCCCCAGCTCTCTACCCTTAGTGTCCACTGTCTTTGCCCCCCTCCCTTTGGGAACTCAGGGGACCCAGGCATCCTGGCCTCTGGCTCCCTCCTCCCCTAGCCCCCAACTCTGGGCAAACTACAAAGCATCCATGGCCAGCAGCTGCCCTCCATGGTCCTAGCCAGGAAGGGCCCAGCCCACAGTGGGCACAGTGGAGCCCGAGTCACCGTCCCTCTCAGCCTCTCTGTGCTTCCTGGGACATGGAGCGGGACAGGGAGCGACGAAGGGCACCGGGCTTGCTGACAGGCACCACAGGGGGCAGCTGCTTGGTGATCTCGGCCACATCCTGGCGCTCCACACACTGGCCCCCCAGGGCTGTCTCCAGTGCCAGCAGCTCCCGCAGCTGGAGGGGGGTGTCCTCGCGCTCCTCCTTGGCGGCACCCATCTTGGCGGGGGTGAAGATGGGCAGTGGCAGCACCCGCTGGTAGGGCAGCTGGTACTCCTGCAGCCCGCGGCCGAGGATGCCCATACGCATCACCAACCAGGGGGAACGCTGCACCAGCGCCTGGCACTGTCCCTGCCGGTGGTAGGTCTCATGCCGCTGGGTGTCCTCCTCGTGCAGAGAGCAACTGGGGAGGAGAGGGGAGGGGGGTACCCAGCTCCTGAAATCTGCTACCCTCCAGTCACGGGCTGGGTAGGGGCTCCCTGGGGCTGCCAGGACTTGGGATGAGGAAGGGGTGACTCCACTCTCCCCAGTGGGCCCTCTCCTTGTCCCTACCCCCAGAAACTTCTGCAGGGCTTTGTGCTCTGGCCTCCTGAGCCTCAGGAGGGGTGTTGTAGGGGAGAGGAGGAACTCCCAGCTGGCTGGCACTCACCCCTCCTCAGGCCGTGTGGACAGCGTCAGATCCTTCCATTCGGCCCAGAAGGCTTCTCGCCGCTCACAGTCCTCCTCGGACACCTGGCAGCTCAGCTCTGCGGTCGCCATGATCAGTGCTCACTCCCTCTCAGCTCTGCTCCTCCCAGGCCCTTTAAATAGCCCCCTCCTCCACCTCCTCCAGGGGCTATTTTCAGCCCCTCTGGCGTCAGATGCTATAAGCAGAGCCAAGGCTCACTGATGGGGGACTCTGGGCCCAGGGTGGGGGTTGGGGTACCTGGATTCCAGCTGCCCCCGCCGGGTCAGCAGTCAGCTTCCAAAGAGATCAAGATGCTCCAGAGGAGGGCAGAAGTCCTCAGAGTGACACCTCCAGGTGTCTGACACTCCTTTGACACTGTCTGAGACCAGGCACGTGCCCAGCCTCGTGCCACCTTGGCACTTGCCCTCTGCCCCACCCCTTTCCTCTTGTCCAGGGAAGACAGCAGCCTGTCTGTAAACAGAGCAGGAAATGGCAGGAATCGAGGCCCATTCTGGGCTCTGTACCAGGCCATCAGGTCCTACCCCCACTCCTCTCCTCTGCCTGGGATCAAGGGCATAGCCCCTGGCCATGCCCCTTGACAGGGACAGTGCAACCACATCCTCAGGTGTCTGCACCCAGAGCCCTGGTCCCCAACTGCCACCACCACACTGGCAGGAAATTACTTGGTTAATTCCGTATCTGGGACCCTGGGCGTGAACCTTTGCCAGGTTTTCCTTTCTCGTGGCCAGTGGTCAGAGAAGTGGTTTCCCAAGTCAGGCCAGTCAGGTCGTAAAGAGCAGATGTGGGTGGCCGCCCCTATCACCAACACCCCCAGGCAGGTGAGATGGGAATTCAGGGGCTCTGAAGAGTGGTACAATCAGATCTGGCTCTAACTCCAACTCAGCCATAAACAGGCTGAGCATGGGGCAGTCCCTGCCCCTCTCTGGGCCTCGTCCTCTGGTCTCAACAGCCTGACCAGTTCCACTATGCCATCTGGGAGGGGCCTGGCTCTCCTTCAAGGGGAGCTGGATGGCTGCTGGGGAAGCCGAGCACCCAAGGGGAGCAACTCACGGTGCAGGAATATACGTGGCACAGAGCACAGGAGTGGGAGTGAGGAATGAGGGCATCGCTGAGTGGACGCAGCAAAGGGCACGGGAAGAGGCCACACAGGAGCAGAGGGCCTTGCCGGAACAGCACAGCGCCCAGCAGCTGGAGAGGCCCATGGGCACCCACCTGGGGCAGAACTGCGCACTCCTGATTACCAAAGCAGCAGGCCTGATTCTCGTTTTCTTCTGACAGCCCCATGATCTAACGAGTCTCATTTTTACAAAGCAGGAAATGGAGGCTCAGAGAGGTGGATTTACCCAGGGTCACACACCTAACAAGGCCCAAGATAGTACCCTTCTGGCCGAATGCTAGTTGCCCCATGGGAAGCCTGCGGGCAGGGAGGGAGGAAGGAGGGCAGGTGTGGCAGTGGCCCCTGTTAGCCCCCGCCCCCGGAGCTGACTCTATGCTGCCCCTAGTGAGTGTGCTGGGGGCGGAGAGGGTAGGTGAGTGCAGCAAGAGAGACCCAGGGAGACCTGAGACGCCTCGGTGACCCAGGAGCCCGGGCCCCACCCCAGGCCGGCTGTGGGACCCCAAGGACAGTCAAGGCCTGCCATGCTTGCTGCTAGGGTCTCTCCTACCTCCCCTCAGATCCTGGGCAGGAGATTTTCCCCTGACTGTCCCTCAGAGGAAGCCTGGCTGGGGGGGAGGGGCATTTTTCTCTGACCAATCATCTGTCCAGCTGGACCAGTCAGGAAAGTGGGGGTGTTCAGGAACTGAGTCCCCATTGGCTCCACACTCCCTCTGGTTCTGCAAGGGTGTGAGAGGGTGTTGTCCACAGTGCTGCACTTCTCTTCCTTCAAGAGGCCAGGCAGGAGGGGCTGCTTTTTCTTTTCTTTTTTTTTTTTTTTGAGTTTGTTTTTAATAATTGGCTCAAATTACAAAGGTCCCCAAGGAACCCTGGGGGAGGGAGAGAAACTGGGAGTGGCAGAAGTTCACTGCCAGCACCCACCCCCCTACCTGCCACCCGCTCCCCAACAAGTGCATATGGAAAAAGGTCCCAGACCCTTTAAATAATCCTAAAAAACCGTGGTGAGAAAGCAGGCAGATGAAGGGGCTCCTGCACCTTAACACTGGCGCCAAGGCCCGCCCTGACCTCTGTCCTGCTCAGGGCCGTGGCCCTCCCCCATCAAGTCTGAGGCTCCCATTCCAGATACTGCCCCCCGCTAGGTAGGGGAGCGCAGGTATCTTCCTCCAGGAGGCAGGGACAGTCACTGTGTAAACATCAGCGGGACAGACCCCACTCGCCTCAGCAGCAGCGCCCTGGAGTCCAGATGCTTGACCTCACAACCTGCTCACAGCCATGGCTCCCAGGTCCAGTGAAGCACGGTGGAGGGTGGTAGCTTGGGCTACCTCTTCTCGCTGCTTGAGGCCAGGTCTTCTGTGGGCAGCGGGAAGCTCCACTGGCCCCCTCTCTGGCTCTGAAGGCTGTGGTGACAGGACCCTGGCCTGCAGGGTGGCGAGGGGCATGGTTACGCCCGGGCGCCCAGCTCTCCGATGCGCTGCCGCAGGTGAAAGGCAAATTCAAACATGGTGGCTGCGAGGCTCTGGTGGATGAGGTACCGGGGCAGGCGGCCCTGCGGGGAGGTGGGAAGAAGTTCCAGGATGGACTGTCCGCAGCAGGGGCTCCCCTCTCAACAACATGCGCCAGTGGGGGGGGGGGGGGTGGGGGGGTACCCTGGGCCAGAGCAGCAGGTGCAGGTGCAGCTCTGGAACACAGCCTAAGCCACCCTCTACCCCTCACCCCCGGCAGGATGAACATGCTGTGCCGGGTCCTGGCACCAACCACACAAACAGACCTAGGAGGGGCTGGCTTGGCAGGCAGCCACTGCTCCTTGGGGCCTCCGGAGTCAGAGGTAAGGGGAGGTACAGGCCCTCCAGCGACTCAGGATGAGACCATCTTGATCCTGCCCCAAATTTTAGCTTAAGGAGGCAGTGTAGGCGAGGCCTTGAGCAGGATGGGAGACCCCAACATCCCCCACCAAAGTCCCCTCTACTGTACCCTAGCCAGCCTTGCGGCCTCAGCAACCCCACCTTGAGATCTGTATTAAGGATCCAGATGAAGGTGCAGACTCGGGGGTTACTGGCCGACTTGAGCACGATGAAGCCCCCAGGACCATTCTCTCCCCTAAGAGAAAAGCACCATTGGGGGGGAACCTTGGAGCCAGGCAAGGCCTCTGACCCCACTCCACACTCCATTCCTGGCCCATCCTGGACTGGGGTGAAAGAGGGAAGGAGGCTACTGGTCTAGCAACTGCCACTCTGCCTGAGCAGGGCCCAGAACGGGTGTCCCAGAGGCTACAGAATACAGCCCTCTACCCCACCAGGTGACACTGGAATCCTCCTGCAGCGCGCCGATGTTGTGCACCCCCAGTGGCAGTGGTCATTTTCTCTGTCCAGGGATTCTCGGTCAGCTCCGGCTGTGAGGGGTGGGCTGTGCTCGCATTTCTCACCCCTGCCCAACTCAGGGAGCAATGCGGTGGTGTCAGGAGGGGGCGCTCTGGGAGGGGGTGCCCTCCTTGGCAGTGGGCAGGGCATGTCCTGTCACCAGTCACTTCCCTCACAGCTCCACTGAGAACCCCCAAGCTCACTCCACGTACAAGGAAGTCAGCACCCAGAGAGGAAATAAGCCTGTTCATCACCCAGGAGTCTGGTGTGCCAAACCTCATACTCCACCAACAGTGCTTTCTGTGGAAGCCCAGGAAGGATGGGGAGAGTGGAGAATCGGGGAGGAGGCCACCTGCAGCACTGGGGTCTAAGGACAGACAGCAGGAGAACTGGAGGATGCCTTGGAACAGGCAGCAGGAAGACTGAAACTCCTCTTCCTCTGGGGGCACTTCCGAGCACTCTGGGGACCGGCAAGGCAGCGGGGACCAACTCTACTCAGGTAGGAAGGTCAAGCTCCAGAACACAGAACCTTCTGCTCAGGTCACCTGGACCGGCGCGACCTCATGGCTCCCAGCTCCCTTCCCCCGACTGGTCCCTATCCCTGGAGCTGCCCTCCGGCCTGGGTGGTGTACTTCCAGCCATTAATCCCCACCCCCACCCCCACCCCCCCCACCCCCGCCCCGTCTCCAGGAGGCAGAGCAGATTAGCAGGACTAGGGGCTGAGTGGGGCAAAGCCCAGCAGGACAGGGGACAGGAAGGCGGCCTCAGCAGGAGAAAGCACCCAGCTGTACACACTGTACCCTCCCCTGTCCTCACAGTCACCAGGGGAGGGGCCAGCTGGGGTGACCCTGGGCAAGGCAAGGCTCACCTGACATATTTGTGTGTAGGGGGCTTGGCGCAGTGGGTAGTGGCGATGCCCGACGACAGGTATCGGTCTCTGCGCCGCTCGATGCGCCGCACGTTCACGAAGTCCCTGGGGAGCAGGAGTGTTAGACTGGAAGCAGGGAGCCAAGCCCAAGATCCAAGGGTAAGAGGTCTGCCTTAGAGGAGGGGCTTGGTGGTGCTCACCTCGGGGAGACCACCCCGCCCGCGGCCCCCGAAGAGACATCGTAGGAGATGAGGGTGTTGTCCTCTACTCGCTGCAGGATCTAAAGGCCGTGAGGGGAGATGTGAAGTATGGCCCAGCCCAGGAAAATCCCAGTACCTCAGGGAACCCCCACACCAGCCTCCTCTCTGCCCAGGCCCTTTACGGAGAGCCACTTCCAGGCCCTGGGCTGGGCTTTCTCTGCATGCTCCCTCTCCATCTTCCTGACCCTCACCAGGAGGCACTGTTACCATCATACCCATTTTAAAGACCGGGAAGCTGAGGCACAGAGCAGTTCATGACATGACCCAGGTCCCCTGGGGTAACTGGTCGTGCTGGGGTATGACTGCACCCTAATCTGCTGTGTTGCTCTGCCTCTGCCCTGAGAGGTAGCCAGGCCAGGCCCCCCGGTTCTTCGGCTCACCTGGCAGGCAGTCACCGTCTTGTTCCACAGCACCATCCTCTCGGGCTGCAGGATCACCTCCTGGTACACCAGCTCCGCCGGGCAGGGCAGGAAGGTCTGGGGCAGGGCGGGCAGAGGGCTGGGTGGCGCCAGATGTGCTTGGACACATCAGCCCCTCCCTCTTGGTGGAGAGAAACCTGCCAGAAGGCAGGAAGCCCCTTCCTGAAGTCTTAGAGCAGGAGGCTCCAGGACACTCCAGCACACCTGCTTCCCTCACTCACCTTCAGGATGAATGTCTTCCCATGAAAGGGAACCTCAATGGTATACACAGTGTCCCCATATTCCTGTGGGAGTGACAGAAGCGTGACAGGGAGGTGGGTGGAGGGCATGGGGGAGGGCACGGGGGGGGGGGGGCTACCGGCAAAAGAATGGGCAACAGGGCAGGTTTTTAACAGCTTAGGGTAGAAAACTCCGGGAGTTTGGGGATATTCAAGTAGCCACTAAAAAACAGTGGTTCTGACAAATGTCCAGCAATGAGCAGAGTAAGGCTTTTGATATCAAGTTAAAGGACAGAAGCACAGCTACAGCCGTTGTCTCCAGGCTGGCCAGGGCTGTTGAGAGGGACTGGCCAGAGAGAGGGACGGGGACGTGTCCGCCTTTTCCCAAGCTCCCTGCCATCTCTTTAGATAATGTTGTTTTGATCACGAAACAAAACACCAGACATAGGGCAGAAGCCTGGCTTCCCCTTCAAAGCCAGAGCTGAGTGAGGAGAGCAGCAGGGAGCTGAGGATGGGCGTGGGGCCACGAGCAGAGGGAGGGGGCAGTGGAAACATCCAACCCAGCCCAACCTCCTGCCAGGTGGTGACCCCAGGGCCCAGCCCCCACTCCTGATGCAGGAATACGGTTCCAAACTGTGCAATTCTGAGGGCTTCTCAGGCCTCAGAAAAGCAAGCAAAATTCTCAACACACATGAGCAGGTTAGGTGGGAGAGAAGTTTCTTACATTGTTCTTCTCAAATTTCCAGTTCTCCTCCTGGGCCAAGATCTGGTCCACCACCGCCATGGCCTCCTTGCCCTGATGGATGTACTCCCGTTCCTGGCCAGGGATGAAAGGCATGGAGGGGTCAGCCTGAGGCCCATACCCTACCTTGTTCGTGGCCAGTTCTTTCTCTAGATACTCCGCACACATGGAGTCTGGGTGGTCTCTCGGGCCCTGTGGGGTCCCCCAGGTGCTGTGGCTGCTCGCCTCCGGGCCCCAGGTATGAGGCAGACCGGTGGGCCTGACTGACGGTGAGCCAGACACGCAGGTGCACGACGACTGGCATTCGGGCTGCCTGAGGTCCATGCTCTGCTGGGAAGGCCCTGCCCACCCTGGCTGAGCCCAGCACTGGCCCTCCTCCGAGGTGCCCACTCCAAAGGTCAGGCGAGGTGGGCAGCCAAATACCTGGGCAGAGAAGATTTTCTTCCCAAGGTCTTCATCTGATTCATTGTCAGACCCTGCAGAAAACAAGCACAGAGACATTAAGAAGGTGTGGGGACAGACTGTGGGGACATAGTGGGGTTCGCGCATAAGTGCAACGTTGCGGGGAGGACAGAGGTATGTGTAGAAGAAGGTTGCTCACTTTCCCCGGAGAGCCAACAGAAGGAACAGAAGGAACCCAGCCAACCCACTCCTCATACAGACCCTCCCTGAAAGCAGTTCCCCATCCACCAGCCCTCACCTGCAAAGGATTCTGGGGGTGAATAGAACTGGCCCTCGGATAGAGCGCCAGAGAAGAGCAGGGGTCCTCGGGCGACAGCAGCCTGGGCAGCAAGATACCCTGGGGGAGCAGACATGGGCAGCCATTGTCCCCAAACAAGGGCAGTCATGCCTTAGCAGCCTGGGGTCCCCCCAACTCCAAGCTCATCTTTAGGCTCTTGGAGGCTGTTCAGAGCTGGCAAGAGAGCTCAGAACTGGCTCTCATGCCTGAAAGTCTCCTCTCTTAGGGCTATGATGACCCTCACTGCACCCCTTCCCCCAGCACTCACATCGCTCCTCCTCAGCCTCCTGTGGTAGGACTTTGAAGTCAAGGAACCAGGTCTCCAACCAGGCAAGGACAAAGGAGACGATAGGGAGCAGGTAGCCGAATGCCCCTTTGCTGAGCAGCTGTGGAAGGACGGGGCTGAGCTCCATGGTAGGGGGGTCGCCCCAAAGCCCAGAGTCCCCTCTTGGGGCTAGTAACTCTGGCATACACCCCATTCCTAGACCAGCTGCTTGGGGACCTCTGCGGCACACACCTCTGAGACAGATTAATGAATTCTGCAGCAGGATAAACTGAGGTTAGGCTGGCAGAAGGACTTTTTGTTCTTGGGGTTGTAGAGGGGCAGGTGGAAGAAGCCAGTGATGAGGATTCCTTGGAACTATCAAAGGACAGGATTCCCCCTCACCCCACCCTGACAACAGAGACAGACACCCAAAATCAGAGAAAGGGTCCCTTCTTAGGAGAAGCCCATCCCCCAGGCTAGAAACCCACCAGACCAGCCAGACCCCTGAGCCACTAACCTCAGAGAGGATGACCTTGACAATGAGGAATGCACTGGACACCAGTGTGGTGACCTGCCCAGGGGAGGAAGGAGGGAGAGAGGGCAAACAGGCTGGGGGGTGAGTCCTCCTCCACACCATCCCTTGCACCAGCCCCACCAGAGCCCGAAAGCTGCGGGGAAAGTGGCGTCTTACCGCAATCACCCACCAGTGCCGGAGCCTCAGCACAGCATAGCCCAGGAGCAGTCCCGAGAAGCGGAAGAAGGCCAAAACCTGGTTGGGGGCGGGGGGGAGGGGGGCAGGACACAAGCCATCACAGGCAAGCCACTGCCCTTCCCCCTGCCCAAGGCTGACCTCCCCCAGGTTCCCTCTACATGGGCATGCATGCCGTGGCAGAGAATGGTTGAGTCAGTGATTCTCTGGGGACGACTTGGATGTGACCTTCTTAGACAGGGGTCTACTCTTCCCCTTTACACTTGGGGCTCTCTGAAGGGAGAGCCTTGTTTAGGAACTTTCTGAATATTGAGAGCTCCTTGAGGATGGGAGCCAAGTCTCCTTGCTCAGATTAGGGTGTGTGTTGCAGAGAGAAGAGAAGCCAGCCAGGGAGTCCTGTCCCTGTGTCATCTCTGCCCCCGGGACCCCCTAAGTCCACTCACAAAGATGTCAAAGAAGGAAGTTTTAAAGTTGTAGTGGATGATCTCCTGCTCCAGGTTCTTCTGGATGCCTGTGTTGGTCTGGAAGAGGGAGATATGAACAGCTCTACAGGCAGAAACAAATCCCCAGGGGTGCCCTCACCTCTGAGGATGGGGAGGAGACGGGGAGTGTGGAACCTGGAGATGCTGAGCCACTGCCCAAGGAGGGCCCCAAAACACCAAGGGAGCTCAGCCAAACTAACATCATTCATTCCTCCAAGCACCAGGCAACCTAGACAGGCAGGGTCCGGCTCCAGCAATGACATTCGAGGGCACAGTGCGCAGGGAGGGGGAGTCTTGGAGGCCCCAGGGCTGTGTAGGGGAGGCTACAGGCCCTGTGCAGGCAGGTAGGGCTGGTAGACTGGGCGCTGGGAGCCTGCCTCTCACAGAATCTCATCTCCCTCTCACCACTATGGGGCTCCATCTTCCCAGGCAACCATCCATCTGGGGCGGTGGGGACCGGGGGGTGAGCAGTGGTGTCAGACGGAGCCCCAGGTGGCAAATCAACTGATTAGGTTTGTGCTTAATGGGCAAAATCCATCATGGTGCTGGAGAGGATGCCCAGCAACGGAGATGGGAGTGAGCAGACTTGTCCTCACCCCTGTCCCTGCCCTAGTCACCCACACATTTTCAAGGGGAATCCTGATACTTTGGCTGGGGAGGGAGAGGATGTGGATGGACACTGAGAGCCAGACCACAGCCCGACTTCTCAGGAGGAATGGGGTGCCAGCCCCCTGGAGGACGGAGGACAGAAGGGGACTCCGGGGAGTGGAACCCAAGAGCCTGGAAGGTGAAGACCCTTCATGACCACCTAGACTGGAGTTCCTAATCCCTGGCAGATGATCCAAATTGAAGTAGGGGGGCTTATTAAAGATACAGATGTTCAGGCCACTGAATCTCAGATTTAGCTGAGCATCTGGAATTTTCATACAGTTCCCAGGTGACTCTGATGCTTAGAGCAGGAGCCAGTAGTCTGGGCAGCCGCCTCAATAACACTTGAAGGCCCCTACACGTCTCCACCATGTGCCTCTACCTCAAGACCACCCTGAGCCTCATGGAGTCTCACACACCACCCCTCACACCTGACACCCCACCCAACCCCACCCCAGCTTGGTCTTCCTCTTCCTCCTCAGACTGCTCCCTCTTGGGCCCCATAGCCCCTCTGACCCCTAACAGTCGCCGTCCCTCACAGCTCTCCCTCTGCCTGGGCACGCACAGAAGCTGAGGACATCCTGACTCGGGGGACCCGAGTTCCAGCCCCTGCCAGTCTCTGGCTACGAGACGTCGCATGGGTGTCGCAACCCTCCTGGGTTCCTTACATCCAACGCACAACACCCAGTCTGTTAGAAAACTAAAAATATATATGCTCTAAACCAGGAAAATAAAACTACAAAACCGAAAATTATCCCATTTTTAAATAAGTGTCTACCAAGTGAAACATTATGGCTAACTCCACTAATGGTTACAGTCCAGCATTCTGAACTTTTATGTTTAAAAACAATTTTGAGATTAGATTTTTTTCTTGTTCTGCAAGAATTCCCAAGTGTGTATAATGACTGCTGAGCTATTATAGCCAGTACATCTAGGTGATTTCAAAAGTAAAATTACAAAAAATTTTTTGGCTGTTTTCCGGAAAAAAAAAAATATTTTGAATGAAGGCTGTGGGTGAATTTTAGTGCTTGCTTTGATGCTGGATGGGACCTTCAAAAAGAAGAATGCCTAAGACCTCAGAAGCTCTTCAAATGGCTCTGGACCTTGCTGGCCTCTGCTTTTTCATTGGCAGGATGGTCCTTAAGGTCCCCCAGGGCTCAATCTTGTTGAAGGTGCCAGTTCATCTCTGTGCACAAAGGACAGTCACCCTCAGAGCCCTCCAGCTCCACACACCCAGAATCAAATTTGTCCTCTCCACCTCTAAACCAGCCCCTTCCCCAAACTCCTCACTTCTATCAACAAAGTCATCCTTTTTCTGTCACTGAGCCTGAGACCTGGAGAAAGGGCACCTGCCATCCTGAACTCTGACCCATTCTGCAGAAGGAAAACAAGGGAAGGCTCAGAGAGGCGGAGTCCCCTGCTGAGGTCCCACAGTGAATACAGAGGAGGAGCCAGGACTGACTGAGCCTGGGATGCTTTGCTCCCACAGCTCCTGCCTCTGTGGTTGGGGCTGCTCTACCCTGTTGGTGCCTGGAGATCAGGTCCCACAAAGCTGGCCAAGCACTGCCCAAGGGGAGGAGGTTAAGGACCCGGCACTGAGAGGCAGCTCCATCTCCAGGCTGCTAAGTGGCATCTCACCAGCCTGGAGAGGCCAAACTGGGGGGCACCGGAGGAGTGTCCAAAATGGAGAAAGAGAGAGCTAGGAACCATTGAGAACTGGGAGTTTTTACTGGTTTGTTCCCCCACCGTACCCCCTGCCTTCAGCACAGTGCCTAGGATACAAAAGGGCTTTGAAAAATGTTTGTTGAATGAATGAATGAATGGAGCAAGAGAGCAACATAGCGCAAAAAAAAAGACAAAGGTTTCAATAGTCCAACCAGAGTCCACTGGACTGTCTCCTCCTTTCTCAAGAGTGTCCACTAGAGGGCAGGTTGGCACGGAGGTCGAGAGTGTGAACTCTGCAGCCTGAGGGTCTGGGTTCAAACGCTGCCCTCCTTCGCATACTTGCCGAGAGAGCCTAGACAAATGACTCAAGCCCTCTGAGCTCCCAGCTCTTCTGATCTTCCTGTTCTTCATCTTACCTGGAAATCTGTCCTGCCAGAGAGGCAACCCTCCCAGACAGCTGGTGCAGCAGCTAAGGCTCGGATGACCCCCGCCCCAGCCTTGGCCCCACTCACGTTCAGTTCAATGATCCAGAGCAGGGAGATGAAGAGCAGGTCGAAGGTGACAAAGAGACAGAAGGTGCGGCGGACATCAGAGATGGCTCGGCGCTTCTCTGGAGGTGGGGGGAGGAAGTGGGAGGAGAGGCCCTGGGAGTGGGACAGTGATGAGCTAAGGGAGGCCACGGCCGGCAGGCTGCGCTCCAAGTCACGGGCCAGCTCCCCAGACAGTCTGTTCATCCTGGTGGGCCCCCACCTCAAGGTGGGGAAGGCGGGGCCTCAGCTGCAAGGCTGGGGAGAAGCAGGGCAGTTGGGTCAGGTCACGCATGTCTCGTGTCAGGAGCGTGGAGGTCCCATTAACCTCCTTCATCTCTTCATACACAGCCCCAGGGACCCCGTTTGCTCCCAAACACATCTGCCCCCTCTCACATCTCAACCCCCTAGCAGCCCTTCCAGCCCAAATTCTCTCCTGCAGCCCCACTTCTGGGCTGGAGGGGTTTGAGCATCCCTCTCTCTCGGCCCTCCTCACCAACCCCCGGTAAAGCCCAGCGGCCCCACGGTTCACCCTTGGAGGGCTCTGGGGTCCTCCCCGCTGCTTGAGGGCACAGCCTGCTCCTGCCAAGCCCAGCCCTGTGGTTCAGCCTCCGGTCCTGTCAACAGCCTCTCGGCCTGCCCCCACCCCCAGGAGAAGAGGGCCCCAAGCTCTGTTCTTTGTTTGCCAAGCACAAAGCCACATTCCCTCCCAGCAGCCAGCCCTACCCTCCCACCCCCTAATCCATGGCAACTGGGAGGGACTTCCTAGAGCAGTGTCTCCGTCTCCGAGTGCTCTGCACTGGGACAGCGGGTATGGAGAAAGGACATCTTGGTCCCTTCTCTCTAGCTCCACCCCACCACCCCCATGTCAGGCCCAACACCATCCTCTGGCCTGGCCATTACAACTAGCCTAGCGGGCGAGTCTCCAGGCTGCCTCTCTCACCCTGTAACAACACTTCTTGCACAGCCAGAGAAAGGCTTTCCAAACACTGATCACACCCTGCCATTCCCCGAGCCCTCCAGTCCAGGCCCTGCCAGCTCTTCCAACGGCTCCTCGCACAAGGCAGGCAGGGCTCACCCCCAGCGCCACCCTGGCCTTCTTTTAGGTCCCTCAATGTGGCAGCCTGGTCCTGCCTGGGGCCTTGGACCTAGCTCTCCCTTCCCCGGTCCTTCCAAGAAGCAGCTCAAAAGTCCTCTCCTCAGAGCCCGCACCCTCCAGCCCCCAGTCACAGTGTCTTGTCCTGTTACGGGGCTTCACATTCTTCCGTGAACTCGTCACTACCCAAAATGGTCTTATTGTTTTACAAACCCTACAGGTATGGGGCTTTCACCTGACTGGTAATTGCTGTCTCCTGGCGCCTAGCACGATGCCTGGCACCTAGTGGATGCTGGACTGGCTGCTGAACAAATGGGGGCTCCAGGGGGTCTCCTGGTCCTCAGCTCCATGCTACGCAGCAGAGAAATGGGGCAAATCCTGAAGAGGGGAAGAACCAGCCACTGCCCGAGGCTAGGCCAGAGCTCCACTGCCTACAGAACACTGTGCCCTCGGTTGTGTTTCATGCCCACACGGGGCAGGATGGGTCCTTCCGCATTACAGGTAAGGCAGCCAAGACTGAAGGGTGAATGGACCCACCCCTTACCTGTCTGTGCGACCATGGAGCTGAAATTCTTATGAATGCTAGAGGCAGAGGGCCTCGGAGCATTCCCTCCCTGCCACACGGCCCCCAGACCCAAGGTCTCTATTCCACCAACGTGCTGGCAAGGAGCCTGAAGAGGTCCTGTTGCCTGGGCAGGGCGCACAGCATGGTCGGTGCCTTACACTTCTGCTGCTCCATCAGAGTCTCCCTGAATCTTCTCTCATGCCAGCACCAGGGGGCAGGTTTGGGGGCCAGCGAGAGGGGAACCCTAGATATTGGTCTCTGATCCTGGGACGGCAAGATCTAACCAGTCTCCCCCCTAATCTGTTATCATTTCATACCTTTGTTATGTCTACTACTGGCCGGGGCCCTCAATCTATCAGGTCCCAAACAAGCTCCCCATTTGCGACAGGGAGGAGACTCTGACCAAGCCAGTTTGTCCATCCCTCTGCCTCTGCGCAAGCCCTAATGGACAGGAGCTGACTGTTCTCAGCAGAGGCACCCGGCCCAAGGCCACCCCTAATACCACACTACCGGGGTTGCCGTGCCCAGCTCATCTGGTACTGAAGGAAAGCTGGGCCTAGCTCTGGCAGGACGCAGTAAGAGAGGGATGTGACAGGCCGCCGGCAATGACACCTATCCCCAACATCCATCCACCGGACCTGGTGCCAGACTGAATGCTCAGCGCATCTTTCACCATGACAGGGCCACAGCTCCAGGGCAGGTGACATTTCCTGGTGTCTAACAGCCCTCTTGTCTGCTGCCAGACCTGTCTCCATCTCTCTTCCTCCTTCCTTCCTGTCTCTCTCATAAACTACTTTTCTGTCTTTGTGTCTCTGTGCCAGCCCCCATCTCCCCACTTCATGTCTATCTTTCTGGGTCTTCCTCTCTAAGTCTCTCCCCTCTGTCTCTCTCCACCACCATCACCTCAGTCTCCCTTGAAAGTCTCCCTTTCCGCCTGTGTGTGTGTGTGTGTGTGTCTCGTCTTCCCTATCTGCTCCTCTCCCTCTTCTTGAGTCACTGCAGGGTGCTGTGGCTTCCTATTCCCAGCTGCTCCCGAGTCTGTCTGGCATCCCCCCGGCTTTCTCCCTCCCTCCCTGGGGACAGGACTCGGGTGGTGGCAGCGTGGTGTGAGATGCCACTGGAGCAGCAACAGCACCGACACTCACACATGGAGACATCCTTGTTGAAGCAAGAGACACAGATGGGGGAGAGCACAGGTGTTGGGGGAGGCCGGAAGAGCTGCAGACACAGGGGAGTGTGGGAGCCACGCACGGGGCCTCTGAAGCAGGGCTGGGGGCAGCCGGCCAAGAGGCAGAGACAGGGGGCTTCTACATCACCCTCCCCTACGAAAGCTGCTCCGAGTCCAAAGTAGAGTAGAAGGAGCACCAGTCGGGAATGAAGACCTGAGCCCCACTCTTGGGACAGCCATTGACCCCGAGTAACTGAGCAAGTCCTCACAAGCCCCTGCTGCGTTACCTGGGGGAAAAAGTCAGTGATTTTTTTAAACCCCCTTCTTCAAGCAAGAGAAACTTAAGAAAAAAAGAAAAAAGAAAAGAAAACCCTACTTGGAACCTTATTAACAAGAAAGATAAAAACAGACTGTTACAGGTCCTGCCACAGAAGGTGCCACAGAGAGCCTCACTTGGCAGCCTTTCCTGGGTCACCCTGGAGGCACCTCCTTGGGCGCAGTTTGAAAACCGCCCACTCAGATGACTTCAAAAGGTCTTTGAGCTCCGTCAGACTGCCTGCCAGTCCAAAAGGTGAAAACCATCTTGGCCCGGAACTGCCCTTAACGGTCCCCAAAGCACTGTTCTCTGCCCCCCTGGCCCTGCAGGTGGAAGGTGGCAGCTGCGAGCGGAACAGTGAGGCCTGGCCTCCCCCACACCGCCGTGCCCACCGTCCTGATGAGGGGGAGGCAGGAATGAGTGCTGTGGGCCAGAGACAGCACGGCTGCCGCCCAGGCCCATGGGAGCAGCAGCCCCTGCCGAGCCCAGCCTCCGCGGTCACCTCTGCTGTCCTTGCTCCCTGCCCCGCCCACGTGCCTGCACAGGTGTCTGGAGTGGAGCGGCACGTTATGGCGTGAAGAAGTCCGTCCGGGACGGACAGAGCAGACTTGACACTCACCCACTGTGTGTTTTAGGGGAAGCGGAGCTGCTAAGGCTTGGGCACGGGGGCAAGGAAATGGGAGGCTTTATCGTCCCCGGTAAGGGAAGGAGGGGTGAGGGGAAGAGGCAGGCCACTGGGCACAGTGGATTACTCCAGTTCTTGCAGCTCCTGAGGCAAAGGGGCGGGGCAGGCACGGCCCCCAGGGCCTGCCAGGCCTTCTCTTACCCTAGGAAATGCCAGTATTGGCCAGACTGAACGAGGAGCTTTTGGGTAGGGTCCCAGACTCAGGACAGACAACGGCAGGCAGCTGACATCATGGAAAGAAAGCTGGACCCTCAGGTCAGGGTTCAAATCTCAGTCTGCCTTTAGAAGCTGTGCAACCTGGAGCAAACGTAACCGTCCTGACACTCCGTTTCTTCAGCTGCGTTAAATAAAGGCAATGTTAATATATTTAATGCCTTAGAACTATATCCTAAAATGATTCAAATGGTAGATTTTATGTTATGTATATTTTACCACAGTAAAAAAAAGCAACGATAATTACTACCTAGTCCTAGGGCTGGCATTTCTAGAAGTGTCAGAAGTATGGTAGGTGCTTGGTCAGTGGTGGCTGAGACGGAACAAGTAACTGGCAAGGTTGTTCAGGTAAGAGGAAAAGTGGGGGGGGGGGGGCCACGGGTGCTTATACACTACAGCGACATGTAATGAAATCACCCAAAAGGCCTGGGTTCAAATGTGAGCTCTACAAGTCCTCTCACAGGTGACCCAGAGCAAGCTTTCTTAAGCCTAAAGTCTGGGTCCCCTACCTGTGCATAGAATGGGCCAAGTCATTCCAGCTCCAGGCAAAGGTGAACTCCCAGGCTGGGGGCGGGGGCAGGAAGCGGGGGGCTGTCCCTGCTCCTTGCACAGGCTGAGGAAGTGCCAGTGGTGCCCAGTCCCCCCTGCAGTTCCAAGCTCTGTCCCTTCAGTCACCCCCAGATCCCCATTTCCATAGCTCTTAGGGGACAGAGGCACAGATGAGGTCCTTGCCAGCTCTCAGTCACAGCCCAGACCACAAGCTCCCGGACTGCCTGCAGTTCCTGGCTGGCGTTTCCTGGCCAAGGCAAGTCTTCAATTTGAGCAATGCCACTTATTCACTGTACAAGCCTCAGAGGCTACATCTGGAAACTGGGGACAATGGTCTTGACCCTGGGCTATCGGGGGCATCAAAGGACACAGTGATGCACACGAAGTGCCTAGAACGGTGTCTGGCTCCACAGAGTAAATGCTCATTAGACATTAGCCACTGCCACCACTGCCATCTGAGTTTCCTTGCCCTTTCCCAAGCCCTGACCTCCAACAGTGGCCTGGCCAAGCTGTACCAGGCCCAGTGAGAGCTTATTCCACAAAGCTATGCTCTGTGGCCCCGGGGAAGGAAGACCAAGTCTCATCTCTATCCAGAAATGACCCACATTTCTGGGCAGTGTGGCTTCTCCAAACCTTCTCTTGAGGCCGATGGGACAGTGGACACAG